GCAGATAGCAGACTAGGTGGAAAATTCATAGACTGATATTGTTTGTATTACAAACAAGATACAATGGTGCCTCGCTTAGTGATCGCTTCGTTGAGCGACGAAATCGCTTAGCAACTAACTTTTTGCGATCACAAAAGCGATCGCTTTGCGATGGTCCCTATGGGGTTTTTTCGCTTTGCGATGATCGCAGGGAAGCGATCATGGCAAAGCGACTCTTTTTTAACAGCTGATCGGTGGTTAAGAGGCAGCTGATCGGTGCTTAAGAGGCAGCGAAAATGGCAGCACTATGGAGGATTTTCGCTTTAAGGTGAGTTTTTAAGCCCATAGGAACGCATTGATCACGTTTTAATGCATTTTTATGGGCTTTTAAATTTCGCTTAGCGATGTTATCACTTAGCAATGTTTTTTCCGGAATGGATTAACATCGCTAAGCGAGGCACCACTGTAGTATCAACATAGAAAACTCCTGTTGTATGTATTTTACTTTAAGTTATCTCCGGCACTACAACAGCACTGGCCATACAGATATATACTTACATGCATCACGGATAAAATCATATTATAGGATCTCATTAACTCTGTACTATTTCATTTCAGCAACTTTCCTCTTTTCTCTCAATGTTCTCCAAATATTAAGTAATAAAGCTGTAAGCACCTGAATTGTTTTAAAAAATAAGTTTTTCTTTATGAAACTTACCTAGGTATATGGGATAGAAATAATCCTGTGTTTCAAAAAAGGAAAAAAAAGAGAAGAAATTACAATGATAGCTTTAATAGCAGACACAGTTTAATTGTTTGCATTATTTAGCAAAATAATTAGAAAATAATTATGCTCTGTTTGTAATCAGTCATAAAGAAAATATAGCTATTGGTTGTTTTGTTTTGCTTTGCTTTACTAAATTGGAAGAGTTTAGAAGTTTAATTAAAAAGTAGCTTTGATCTAAATCTCAAGAGTATTTATTAAATGGATAGAGGACACAGCCTGATTTTGAAAATATTTTTCTAGGATACACCTTCCCACAATTAAGCAACAATTATCCTTTCCAATGATGCAGTCAAGGGGCTGTAACTTAGTCCACTTCAAAATCTGAGAAAGAAGCAGGGGGTTGTCTGCTCAGTTATGTTACAACTTGGCAACCCTGTAAATGTTTGGTCAAGGATGCCCATAATCTGAGGTTGCTACAGACAGTACTGTGCCTTTTGTACCTATTAGGTTCTCTGACCTTTCTAAGTGCAAGGCAAAAAATAAGATATGGATGAAAAACTTTCTAGCACATGCCCCCTGAACTTACTCCTATCTTATGTCACTGACTTCTCACTGAAAAGTGGTCCAAAGGTAGATCGCAAAATCTTATACTCACTTAGCAATCAGTGCAGCGGTTACTGCAACAAATATGCTGACACCAGTGTCCATAGAACAGTATCAGACAATAGGCTGCTGAACAATTTCACTGTTCCTGTTATCATTTTGGACACTGCCACAGAGTTAAACAGGCTGTAAGACCTTTGGAGATGCTGTACAACTGTGCAAGCTGTGCATATGAGGAAGGGATGTGGGCTTTTATGTGCTTAGCCCTGTGACAGGGATCCCCTGTATCTCTAGGATACCCCATGTAATTTAAAACTCTGGAAAATCAATAAATGCCATATTGTTAATCACCTAGTGACTGGACAGGACACAGGAATGCCAACTAGGTCTGAGGATCCTGAGAACTCCCTTTGAGGCGTAAACTAATAATGAATCGGCAGGGCTTGAAAAATGCACTCATCCACTCGTCTGTGATGAGTGAAAAATGCTGCTCGATGAGCCTCTCTCTCTCTCTCTAATCCTGCAGTCCTCCCCTCCCCACTCCCATTGCAAAAGGAAAACTGCTTTCTTCTCGTGAAAAGAGAGTTCGAGTGGTACATAGAGATATAGCTCTGCAGGAGAATGTAGAGTAGTCCCATGCTGGAGAATATGGAGATTCCCTGCTCCCAACTTCAACCAAACGAGGACGGAACCATGGCTCCTTAAGAGGCCCTGTGCTTTTGCATAAAACAACCCAAGTCTGAGGATATAAATCAGTGATTCCCAATCTCAATAAATTGCAAAGCTATAGTCCAGTCATGCTGACTGCTGAAATTTTTGACTGACTGGTGAGACATTCTAAAATTTTTCAAGCCCTGTGAATTGGGATGTGTACTCCCTACAAGTAGCCCATTTCCCCTCCTGCAACAGGATTTCCTCAGAGATATAAACTCCACCAAACCAAAGCTGTAATTACTTTCTAATATCCATTCACACATGAAAGCACCCTACATGCAAGTTACGAAGATAAAGAGAATTACGGCTATGACAAGCAGATGCCTTTCACCACTTGAGGCTACACTTCTTTTAAAATCATGCTAAACGAACCAGGTAGTGACTTATTGCCTAAATGTGGAACAGAGGAAAAATCATCTAAGTGTTCCACTCCTGCTCCACCCTGAGAGGTTCTTCATTGTGGGCTCAGCTGCATGACTTATCTTAAAACCCAGCACATGCTAAAGATCTCGTCAGAGGAACAGAAGGAGATGGTTATGAGATTTGCTTTCCATTCTGCATTTAGGTAACAGGCTACTAGATGTGGTCTAATTTAACTCTTAATATGGCAGGGATTATCTATCTTTTGGGGCTGGTGATCAAATTTACAATTTTAGAGAGTGGCTGTCTTAACAGGATGGGTGCAGCTCACTCACAAAATGGCTGCCACTCTGGACATAAACTGTCACAAACACTCATTTGGGCTGGACACCTAAGCATCTAATAATAAAATAGAGTATGAGTGAAACAAACACATTATAGAACAAATTTGGACTGCATAATTATGTTTTAAACTACCCAGAGAGAAGTTTAAGTGCTGTGGGACAGTATATAAGCAGCATACTTTAGAGCAGCGGTCCCCAACTTTTTTTGGTCCACGGACTGGCTGGGGAAGGTGGGGCGCCACCCGCGCTTGTACGCATGCGCAAACAAGCACCTTCTCTCGCACGAGTGCAAGGATGCCCAGACAAACGCTGCACCACTGTTCATGCGTGCGTGTGAGTGCTCATGCGCATACACAAACAGTGGCATGGCGCTTGCCTGGGCATGCTTGCGCTCATGCACATGCAAAAACAGCAGCGCTGCACTTTCATGGGCATGCTGGAGCATGCACGCAGGCGCAAACGGGCTGTGTGGGGGTGAGTGTGTGCAGGGGGTGGGGCGGGAGGTCTGTCTCAGTAGCCCGGTCCGGCTCAGGCCACAGACCGGCACCGGGCTGTGGACCAGGGGTTGGGGACCTCTGCTTTAGAGAGTCTACTTAGTAATTAGATGTATCATTTTATTACTAAACACAGAATTCTTTAGGATTTCTTCAAAGTTCATCATAATAGAAACATACAAGCTATTGACTCTTGTCCAATAAATTTGTGTATCTTGAATACTGGAAGGAAATGAACAAACAATTAGTGCTCTGTTAAAATTAGTTTCTGCCCTCAGAGGAGACTTTTCCTTAAGATCTCTTACTGTCTCAGGGTTATTTTCAAAGATTTCTCTGGCTTCTTCTTTGTTGCAGTACTCTTCAATACATTCCCGCTCCAAATTCCCCTTCATCCTTTCTTCCATAAAGGAATTTGCTCGACGGTTTCTGACAAGAAACTCTGATGCATGATGCTGAGATAAGACTGAATAAAAACAGGATTTTTAAAATTAGACGCTGTTGTGCAAAAAAATAAATATAATGCAAAGATTAGAAATCAAGATCCTGATGACCATGGGTGTGGACCATTGTTACAGAAGTATAAAAAATAGGGATAAAATCAAGTTTAGTTGTTGTTGAAATCTTGAAACAAGAAACATCTGATATGCATAAAGAATCTGAACATATCATCTACAAATACCTTTAGCTAGAATAATTTGGAATAAAGTTATGCTGTGCTATGAAGGTTGGAACCCTTGTGCTTAATCAACCAGTTTTGGGTTTTGTCACTTTCTTAGAAAATGATATCCTTGGAAATTCCCTGATATTATTGTAGGAAAAATGGAATTACAAAGGGAGATTCAAAGAGAAGACAGCAGAAATTAGTACATAGATAATTTCCAGTGTATCTCTAAGACCCTAAATAGAGATCAGTGTTTCTTAACATACCACACATACTAATCACTCAGTTTTATACAATATTTTAAGAGCAAGAAATAGTTTCCCTTGACAGAATCTAACCTCTGCCCCAGAACCCATTCTCAGCATTCCTGTGACAGCCAAGTCTATGTGACATGCAGCTTATTACCCCGGCTATGACCAGCAAAGTTACATCTTTACAGTCACATTTCTGGGTTAACAAACTGTTGGCCAAAATCCTGTTGCCATAAAATTACACCACGGAGCCAGATGATGTCATCATCCAGCACTGCTAATATCTGCTTTAGATTAATTGAAAGCTTTCTATTTCTCTCTTTCAGCTTCCAAAGCTCTGCATGGCTCTTTGCCACCAGATCACTACTGGCAGGACTGTTGGCAATTTTTGACTACTCCAGGCTCCCAAAGGCATCCCCAGGGCAAAAGGGAGCCCTAGTGAGTCTTAGAACCTGAAATGTGGATATAGAAACCCTCCAATTCATGTAAACTAAATATTACCAGTGCTGGATGATGATGCCGTCCAGTTCTGTGGTACAATTTTATGTAAACAGGATTCTGCCAATATTCACTCTGTATCCTCAACTCGACATGATTCTTACCACCTTGTGGAGAAATACAGGAGTCATCTCTCTGTATTTATTTGTGAAGGAATAGATTTTGATCCATGAAAGCTCATACTTGAAATTGTTAGCCTTTAAAGTGTTGCAATATTTTGCATTCCTCCCCTTTCAATTTTGCCAACATGCTGAGACAAATTAAGACTGTTATGTCTTTGAAAATTCCTGATATCAACTAGCTCCACAGATAATTGCCAGAATTTTCTTGCAGAAAAGAAAACATTCTCCAGCTTTTAAGCGGCCACCCTCTTAAGCAGATTTTCTTAAACAGGGTTCCAGCCAGCTTGGCAGATCTCAACATTCATTCATAACCAAACATAGCCTGCCAATTTATACAGTAAATTTTGCAGCAGTAATGGTCCCAACACTGCAAAGGATGTTATAGGAACCAAACTATCACTTTAGTAATGCAACTGCAAACAGAGATGGCAAGCACAAATAGAAAGGAAGCTAATATTAAGCAATCACTAAACAAAGGATTTTGAAATATTTGGCAAAACTCTATGTTTACGTAAATACAACACATCTTTTTTAAAAGAAAACAAACACAGTGGTCATGAAAAAGACTGTCCAATAAAGACTGTGCATATTTAATAGCATGGACTTTTGAGTGTCAACTGAAAAATAAAAAAAACAGTGGAAAGTAATAATGTTTGGGAAAGTTATTGTTTAGTCCATGCTAGCTGGGGATTTAGATTTAGATTGGGAAGGCGTCCAACATGCTACTGAGGAAGAGCGGAGGACAAGTACAAGTCGCTCCAGAGCTAATGAAGGGAGATAGGGAAAGTTACAGAAAATTGAATGTTGACTTCCAAAGAATAGCAAGGAGAAACAAGAGGGCCTTCTTAAATGAACAGTGCAAAGATATACAGTTGTGCCCCGCTTAACGATTACCCCGCATTACGATGAATCTGCTTCACAACAATGTTTTTGCGATTGCAATTGCTGTAAACCAAGGGCACGGGACGTTGAGCAGCCTTAAGGAACAGTTAGAACTGGATATGGAACAGTAAACCAAGGGCACAGGACGTTGAGCAGCCTCAAGGAACAGTTAGAACTGGATATGGAACAACAGATTGGTTCAAAATTGGGGAAGGAGTATGACAAGGCTGTATATGGTCTCCCTGCTTATTTAACTTATATGCAGGATACATCATGAGAAAGACTGGACTGGATGAATCCCAAGCCGGAATTAAGATTGCCGGAAGAAATATCAACAACCTCCGATATGCAGATGATACCACTCAGATGGCAGAAAGTGAGGAGGAATTAAAGAACTTTTGAATTGTGGTGCTAGAGAAGACTCTTAAGAGTCCCCTGGGCGCAAGAAGAACAAACCTATCAATCCTGAAGGAAATCAACCCTGAGTGCTCACTGGAAGGACAGATCCTGAAGCTGAGGCTCCAATACTTTAGCCATCTCATGAGAAGACTCCCTGGAAAAGACCCTGATGTTGGGAAAGTGTGAAGGCAAGAGGAGAAGGGTACGACAGAGGACTAGATGGACGGACAGTGCCATCTAAGCTACCAACTTGAATTTGACCAAACTCCGGGAAGCAGTGAAAGACAGGAGGGCCTGGCGTGCTCTGGTCCATGGGGTCACGAAGAGTTGGACATGACTTAATGACTAAACAACAAAGCTGGGGATTTTGGACGTTGTAATCCACAGAAGTTAATTTTCCAACTTCTGATCAACTTTCTCTGAGCAGCATGTTTCTCCACCTACTCTCTCCAACTGAAAAAGAGGATAAGGTTCCTGAACCTTTAATTGGATAAGCATTCTTCCATCACTAAAATATAGGAAGACAGTGACCACTGAAATTCTATGATTGTTTCATGTAGGTGCTTCTGAGGGACTGTAGCAAGAATACCAGTTCCTTCCATAGAAGAGAAATATAAAAACTTGGTTTTCAAAGCACTGAGGGTATCGGGCAAGGTATGAGAGGCACAAGAGAGCCCAAACTGATAAATATGTAAGACTCCCTAATGCAAGAAGGCTCTCAATTACGCTCTCCCCTTACAGATGGGACTAGTGCAGTGAGGGCTGTTAAGTATACCAGTCCGAAGCCTGCCAGTGCTCTGTTGCCTCTGCATGGCTGGGGGGCGAGCGTCCAAGAGCCCAGCCAGCTTTAGTCTCCCAGCACTGGATGAGTGCTGCCTCCAATCACAGTAGCAGGGGACCCCAGGGAGGTCTCCGATGGCAGCGGGGAAGCTCCCAGGGCTTCTCCGCTGCCGTTGGAGACCTCCTGGGGGTCCCCCGCCACTGCAATCAGTGCGGGGAGTAGACCGAGCCTACCGGTCTACTACATCAGAGGGCTTTCCAAGTGCTGACACTAGAATTGCAACAGGCTGTCACCATAACAAAGGAGATATGGGGATCCCCAATGAACGGATTTGCCCTTCCATTCCAAAAAGAAGATCAAATCCCTGGGTCTTCCTTTCTTTAGTACCAGGATGGTAAAACTGCTAGTGAAGTTTCTTTTCATCAAACTCTTAATGCCACACAACAGTCACTAGATCTGAGCATGGCAGTCTTAAGTCTTGTGGAAAGATCACATAGATATTTGAATGCAGATCCTTATGAGGGACTAGTTTAGAGATGAAAGCAACTTTATGGCACATAACATCAAGGTGATCAAGCATACAACACCGCTCACAGCATCCAGCTTCTAAAGGCCCATTCAGATGTCTGAGGTGTAATCTTATTGGTGGGAAGGAGAAAAGTTGCATTCTGTGCATAGGGGAGACTATATTTAAAACACACCAGAATGTCAGAAGTTATTTTTTAAGAAGATGGAATACAGTATTGTGATATGGTAAAGCCAACAACAACTAAGTTATGGTAGGATGATGCAGAACTTGCAAAAGTTATTTGTTGGACTGCAACTCCCAGAAGCATTCCACCAGGAAGCCTATTAGCCACTGTAGAGGATTCTGGGACTTGCCATCCAGAAAATATTTATACAAGGTCAAAAGCGTTATCTTGCCACTGCTCAGAGCTTGTCCACATGAACTGGCTGGTGTGGGCCAAAATAAAATCGAGTAGAGGTCTGGTATGCCTTTTGGTGTGATCCTTGTATCCCAATGGCATACGCACATCAAGCGACCCTACTGGTCTGTCTGCCAGTTGAAAAGAAAAGGAAAAGGGGGGGAAAAGCCCTCTCCTTGCTCCCTCTGGCTTTCAGGAGAATGTTTTTGATTTTTTTTCTAAATGGTGTAGCACAGTGGTGTCGAACGCACATCAGCACTACCCTAATGCAGTTTTTTTAAAATGAACTTCCTATGCTCCATGAAGGAGAGGAAATGCTTAATTTCCCAATACTGTATCATAAAGTGGCTGTTTTCTTAAGTCACTTAACAATTTTGGAAATTGAAAGAGGAAAGTAAATTTAAAGCACAAGCTTTCCTTTGGTTCATTTCCAGCAATCACACACTCAGAAAATGAAACAAAATAGGGCAACCTACCCACACCAAAAAGTATAAGTCCCTGACAGGGACCCGGAATTATTGATTACTTTATCATGTTATTAAGAGTCATTATTGTTAAAAGTGAATTTTCAGTCTGCAAAATATTTGGTAGTTTTACAGAAGCTGGGTTTCTTCTCAGTATCTGAAGATTCTCGACAGCTGTGAAAAGGTGGTGATGATGAAATTCTGGGTCCATTTGTGATGGGTAATTTTTTGTTATTCTTCCACTAGGTATATTTCAGTCCCTAAATGAGGAATAGGATGGAGACCAGAGACTCTGTATGCCCCCCAAAAAGTTTTTTGCAGTTCCCAACACCCCTCCCCCTTTCTAGGGTTGTTCCCCATCACCAGCTGTAAAAGGTGAAATGTTGCTACTGAACACCTTTAGCATATCAATTTTTTAAAAAGGACTTCTGGCTACTTCTGTTTGCATTGTAGGTTTGATTAAGGCTAGGGAGACCAAACTCAGAGCAGTTTTCAGCAAGTCATTCTTTGCCCATAACTTATCTCCCAAATGCTGTAAGGAATAAATGACCCATTCATTTCTGCTAAAGCTCTTTGGAAGTAAGGTGGTTATAAATGAACCTCTCTTCATCTTCCAGCATTAGATTACAGACCTTGCATCCAATTCAACTGGCTCATGACATTACATAGAGGCTCATGGCATTATTTGGAAGGTACTATCCTCTACTAAGATATAAAATTTGAGCGCATCGGAGGAAATGGTGCATAATAAATAATAGGCAAACGGCACTGTGAACCTATTCTGCCTTTTCCTCATTTTTTACACAAAGATAAAAGAAGCTGTGGGAGAATAGGAGGGTCACACGCCTTATTGATAAAAGCCTTGGTTTTGATGCAGTAGAAGCATAGGAGCAAAAAGTAGTGAAAAACCAACCTTATTGATAAAAGCCTTGGATTTGATGCAGTAGAAGCAGCATAGGAGCAAAAAGTAGTGAAAAACCATTTGCTCCAAATGACAATCTAACGGGGGAGAACTGGTTCTTGGTCAAACAACACAACAATAAAGGGTTTTTTTCCTGCATAAAATATCGCATTAAAGCGCTACATCATGGCACTGATAATGGTTAGGTCATATTCCACAATGTCAGGACACGTCTTCATCTGCTATCCTTACTGCACTTGCTCTTTCGCCTATATGTGATACGGGCTCCCTCCTCCCTGTCCCTCCAGCATTCAGTTTAGCACTGCACGAAACTGATGGCTTTGACAGAGGGAATTGGGGGCCTGCTTAAACAGAAACGAGAACGACTTTTTGCCCCAAACTGCAGAACTCCACCTTGTTTCCTGACCAACATCAGCATCTCTACGACACACTCCATACAACGGAGCCCAGTCTCCTTACGTCTGCAGTGTTACGAACACTTCCCTGGCACTAAATCCAATTCAGCTGAGGAGGGCTCCTTTCTGAGTAAACACGCAGAGAATCGGGCTACATCTGGATGCGTCCACAAGAGCATGCCGAAATTTGTTGACTATAGAGAAACCATCCTGCAACACATCCCTTCCCCGGGTTTTTTTGTTTGTTTCTTAATTTCTGCAACGATCCCAAGAACCGTTTTCCTTGCTACTCCCTGCCAGCAGCCCGCTAGAACCAGTCTCCGAATTCACCACCCCCCCCAAGGCAAACAAAAAACGAAGTGAATCGAAAGTTCGGAAACAGACCCGGTTTTACTTACACGTCCTTGCCTCGGAGGGAGCGATCGCCGCGGCACCCAGGCAGGAAAGAAGGAGGCAAACCATGCAGGGGAGCCTCATTCTTAGAGGGAGGGCGGCGATGTGTGGGGCCGGGGTCTGTCTCGGGGGGTCTAGGAGGGGCAGGGGCGTGCGGGCATCTGCTCGCAGACAGCGGGCCCTCCCCTGTTTACACGGTGCCTGGGGGAGAGAGCGAGCGAGCGAGCGAGAGGCAGCCGGGAAATGTTTCTGCCAGGTTCCGATCGTCCTGCTGCTCCTGGGGAAAGCGGGAGGGACGGCGGGGGGGACTTGTTGGGGGATGGGGTCTGGCGGCTTGCGAAGAGAGGACATTTCCAGGAAACGTTGCTGTGTATTTCACGTGTCGGGTAAACAGGATGCGTGGAAAGGAAGACCTGAAAAGGCCGAGAGGCTGCTCAACCTCCCCCGAGCCCTTGATTTACAGCAGCTGATGAAGACTGAGCGTCTCCCATGATTTTAACTGTTTAGCATAGAATGGGATGCGAGCCTTTCTAACTATGTTCCTCTTCCCACAATTACAGGTTATCACTTGCTTTGTGTAGTTTATAGAAACACATTTTTGCTAGTTAATTCCCATTCCTTGTTATGTTGTTCACGTTCATACTTCTGTCACATTAAATGTTCTGAGTAGTATTAATCTTAAAAGGCTGCCAGGCTGCCCAAAATTAAGATAGCTCTCTAATGAAATTTAAAAGATCACTGTAAAAAAATAATAACTTTACTGCAGTTTTTTAAGTGATAATGAATCAGCCTGAACAGAGTTGGAAGGCCATCTTGTGAAAGCTAATATGCTGATTTATTGGATAACATTATATTTAAACAGCTCAGTGTGGTTTTTTTTATTGCTAGGGGCAAGATTCAGCTCACTGATGATGATGATGATTTTCTTAGAATTGCAGAGTGGGAAGGGATTCTATGGATCATCCAGTCTAGCCCTGTCAAAGAGGCACAGTGGGCGAATTGAACTCCCAACCTCTGGGCTCTGCAGCAAGATGCCTAAACCATTGAGCTATCTATGAACAAAGATGAATTGTATGTTCTATTTACATTTATCTGAGAGTAAATTCCACTGAATTATCAGCAAGGGTACTTTTGAGTAAGCATGAATAGAATTGTTTCTAACAGATTTATTGTGGTAAAGCTTTCATGGATCCAGCCCTGTTTCATCCCTTAGGAAGTTGCTTTTGCAAGGAACATCCACCTCTTCTGCTTGTTCACATTTATATGTTCTCTGAGGGCATTGGGCCCAATCTCCAATAGGGTGCAAGCATAGGAGTGGTATAAGCATCTGTTCTGCTAGCATTCACCTCTAGCTTAGCTTGCCCCAGCAAACAGTGGAAGTGAGCAAGCACCATATTCTTCTTACCTGCCTGATGTTTCTGATTATAGGAAGATATAGTGTGGTTTCAGTCCTCACAACTTTGAGCCTACCAACAGTCAGTGTGTGAACCATAAACTACTGCCATTTTATGCCCAGCAGGAGATGTAGAGGGATGGGTGGAAGTGCAATGGATTCAAGGAAGCAAGCACTTCTACTCTGGTTTGTAGAAGTGAAGAGGGCACAATGCTAGTGGCTGTTCCTTCCAAAGGATTGAAGGAAGGAAAAGAAGCGAACTGAACGCAACCAATCACTGTTGTGATATCTGTTCATCTGCTTGCTGCTGTGGGTTCATCACTGGATGATGTATGTGTGGGCAGAAATTTCTTGACCTTTATTACTTGCTTTGCCTTCCGAGTGCAAATAATTTATTTATTTATTTATTTATTTATTTATTTATTTATGTATGTATGTATGTATTTATTTATTTATTTAATTTGTACCCTGCCTATCTGGTCAAATGTGACCACTCTAGGCGGCTAAATAAGAGACATGGCCAGCCCTGACAGGAAGGGCGGAGGTCACTTCAGGCAGCAGATTTTTTTAATTGCAAAAACAGCATGAAAACTTATTGTTTTTACCGGCAGGAGTGGGCAAAGATACTCAGGAAGTTTTCTGCTGCACCATAAAAGTAATTATTTGTACTGCACACTGGTGTCAGAGGCCGTACACCAACTGCTGCCATGCCTCAGGCAGCAAATTACCTTGGGCTGGTCCTGGTAGGAGCAGAAGGAAGATGTGGAGGTGCAGATAGGAAAATGTCAAGAGAAGGTCCCAACTCTTAGATGTTGGAGTTGAGTTCACCTGCTTTTTAGGAACTGTGGATCCGGGTTGTTATTTTATTTTATTTTGTTTGTTTTATTCTATTTGTACCCCGCCTATCTGGTCAATACGACCACTCTAGGCGGCTTCCAGACAGGTAAAAATACATATACATATAACAAAAATGAAAATATACAGGAATAGACATTAAACAATGAACAATAAGGAATAAACAATGTATCCCCGGACACTTCCAAATCTTTATGCCAAATCTCAAATCAGCTTTTTTTCTTTTCATTTTTATCCCACTTTTCTCTCAGTGAAAGGAACCAAGGCAGCTGACAAAGTATTGGAAACAACCCGACTATAACATGATAAATTAATTCATTTTTAAAAAAATTACGGAAATAATAATATTAAAACACTTAACAATTCTTAACATGAGCATTTATCCTGCTCGCGCCCCTAAACAAATATTCCACGCGCAATGTAAAGCAAACGGCTTCGTTCAAGGACCCCCCCCGGACGCAGTTCCCTCCTATCCCCCTAGAAACCTCTCCCCGCCTCCTTGGAAACCAAGAGTTGACATTGGAAACCAATGGTTGCAAGTGGCTGTCAATCAAAACGTTATCAATTCGTAATTGGGTATCTTCTTTCCTTCTCCCGCCCTTTGCCTCCGCTCGGTCTTCTGTAACTATTGGAAACCAGCTTAGTTGCCCTTTTTTTTCCTACGGTCCGTAGTTTCCTGACTCTTTGGGAGACCCGGCCAATCAGCGACCTCCACCTGCATCACGTGAAGGGGAAAAAAAATCTACTCGAAGGGAACTGTCACGTGGCCCTTGCGGAAAGGGCCGCTCTGGGAATCTGTAGTGGTGTTGAGATTTCTGAGCGACGGGTGCCTGGCGGGCGGGGGGGAGGAAAGGGGGCTGGCGAGTCCCTTGCGGAGCTGCTGCGGGGCGACTCGGAGGAAAGGAGGGTAGGTCTTTGTGTGGGTTTGGCTGTCATGCGGGGGAACGAGAACCCCCAGGGCCGCGGTGGCTAGCCGAAAAGCGGTGACTGGCCCCGGGTTTCCCGCTTTCACGTTCCCCGATCCCGGCGGCCCCGGTGATAAAGCGCTGGTAAGAGAGGGCTGCTCGCTGCCGAGGCTGTTGCCTCTTGTCGACAGCGCTTGCTTTGGGACTGGAATAATTAGGAGAAGTCCCGACAGTGTCACGGTGAGAGTATCTGAACAGAAGAACAACTTTAAAATGAGAACAGCAAAGAATGCGTTTTGTTACGAGATGAAGGAGATCTAGGCTCATATCGCCATTCAGTCATAAAAGGAATTCTCTCTTGGGCTAGTTGCATTTCACACATTCACTCTGACAAGTCCCAGTGGGGTAACCTGCAGGATTGGTCCATGGCAGGAAAATACCAAAAGACTTTATTTAATACAAGCTTTTGTGAATTATTCATCACTTCTTCAGAAGTGGCTACTGTACGGGGTATGGGAACTCTTGCAAAATGGAATCAGTTTATTCTTTAAGATGCTGCAGGATTGTTTATTATTCGTACCTGTTGGGGTTACCGTGGCCATAGAGACTATGTATGCCACTTTGAGCTCCGTGGAAGATCTGACGCTTTAAAAATTCTTATTTCAATGTGGGATTGTGGATGCCCTTGTTAGCATTTTTGTATGCCAATACAAACGATACCCTTATAGAGCTATGTGACACTTAGCTGCTTTTCAACACATTTAGCATTTGTTGTGAGCCACTCCTTTTCTTGAATCAGTTGTGTGGTGAAGTGAGCATTCTGAAAAGATGTACAGTACAGTAATTGGTAGAAATAGTTTAGTTATGTTGTCTCAGAATCTCAGATCCATGTTAGGAGTTCTATGCGTCCCTTTATTCTGTTAAGTTTAATGTTCATGATTCCTAAATTCTGAGAATGTTACATATTCATGTTATCATGAATGAAGCAGGATGTTTCCCAGTGTGTGTGTTATGCTTCTTTAATAGGAAATAAAGGTATAGGAGGTTGACCTACTGTGTTGCAGTTCTCCATGAGAGACCTGCAGGTATAGGGTCTGTGTATCTCCATAAGTGATATGAGGTGCCTCCAAGTAAACCTGCTTTGTTACTGTCATAGAAAATGAAGGCATGCCAACGGGTCATCTGGTCTAGCCTAATATATTGTGCTGCAGTTCTCAATGACTGTCCTGTAGGTCTATGTATCTCCGTGAGTGATATGGGACGCCTCCAATTGTGCCTGCTATGCTAACTGCCATAGAAAATGAAAGGATACCAATGGATCATCACTTCTGACTCCACTCCTACTGAATTTGAGTTCTCAGTGACACCTGTAGATAAAGAGTCCATGTTTTTCCATTAGTGATACCAGGTGCTTTCAAGTATGCCTGCTGTGCTACTTTTATAACAAATGAAGAGATACCAAGAGGTCAGCTAGTAAGACCCCTACATTTTGGGAAGATTAACTAGTGACAAAGTAGACTCACTGAAGCATTGCTATCACCTGGTCAAACTTGTCATCCTCCTTACACTATAGAATATAGCAAGAGTGCTACCATAATTACTTATTTGGACCATATATAAATTTCTGTACCATAATAAGAGTGACCCACTAGATCAGTAGTTCCTAATCTTGGGTCTCCACATGTTATTGGACTACAGCTCCTAGAAATCCTGGCCAACATAGCTAGTGGTACAGAAATATACATCTTGTACAGATAAATAAATATCTTGGCTCATTTGCTATGTCCTGTATTTACACTATAAGGAGCAGGAGTATGACAAGCTGATTGCAACACTTCTGTGAATCTGTTTTGTCACTGGTTTATCTTCCCAGAGTGTGGTAGATGTGGGAATAATGTTTTATCTTTCTTGTACATAGAAGATAAAGGAAAAGTGAAGGAGGAGTGAAGCTCCTCAAGGAGTGCTGTGCCTTTTAATGCCTTGATCTAGAACTAGATCCCATTCCAAATGTTGTATTTCTCAGGGACATCCAGTAGGCTAATGTTTTGTTGCTTTGTTATGCAGGGGGAAGTAAATTGTATAACATTCACTAGCATCTGGCTCAAGTGCTGGAATTTTTGAGCACCTGCACCCTGAAAGTTGTAGAGGCAACTTGTTAATTGCCAGCTAGAAGTTAGTTTCTTTCTTTCTTCCTTTCCTTTCCTTTCCTTTCCTTTCCTTCTTTTCTTTCTTTCTTTGACTTCTATTCTGTCCCTATCAGTGTGACCACTCTCAGTGCATCAAAATATAATTACAGTCATAAAAGCAAGCACACAAATGCAATGACTTCTGTTCTGTCCCTATCAGTGTGACCACTCTCTGTGGAGTTCACAGTGCATCAAAATATAATTGCAGTCATAAAAGCAAGCACACAAATGCAATAAATACAATTAAACCCTTTCTCTAGTTGAATTGCCAAAACCTGCATTTAAATGAATTAAGCAAATGCCTTCTCACTGCATAACAAAACAACAAATAGTGCTAGATTTGTTGCTTCATAGAAGGAGCTCTTTATTATTACTATTATTATTTTGTAAGAGGGAATGAAGTTTGGAAGCATCTTTACTCACTGTACTTTTCTACTCTTTCATGATTTTAGCATCAACACAGCCTTCAAACTGATATTTTCTTTCGTGGTCTGCCTCTAACTAGAACTCCAGGATCCATGCACATATTGCATCTGTAATTTGCTTGGTGTTCTGAATGGCTGTTGGATAGAGATGTATAGCCTGATGGCCAATTGCTGCAATTGGCTAAAGCGGTGGCGAGAACCTGTCAGGTAAACTATCAAACATATAAAATTGTCTATCTCTATCTGATGTAACCCAGGACATCATGATATGGAAAACGTATTGAAAAGATTGTGCATAAGGTAAAAGTGATTAGACTATTGTAGAGTTTAGACTCCTAAACTGCTATCTAAATTATAACAAGTTGTTGTTCAGTGACCTAGACTAGGGGTCCCCAAACTTTTAACCACGAGGGCCACATCATACATTTTCAAAATTTTCAAGGGCCAAAGAGGAACACATGCGCACACATACTCCTGCCCACCTGCACATCCTGTGAATGCATGCCACCCTGCATGTCCGCACAGCCACTTGCCTGAACCCCACTTGCACACACACATGCCCCCTGCATGCACACACACCGCATGCACACCACTCACCCACACACATGCACATGGTCCCTGCACGTATGCCCTGTGCTCACACACCAGCCCACCGGGCCGGATAAAAGTGCAAGGTGGGTCATAGTTTAGAAACCCCTGACCTAGACTTAGCTGCACCATAAACCTTTGTGATCTGGAGCCCAGATTGTCAAATATATAAAGCATTTTTCTAAGCTGCAATACATGCATTTGTGTCTGTTGTGTGGTGACAGACGCAGTGAGATCAGAGGAAAATGGAATGCCAAGATTAGCAGGCTAACATTCTTTGTTTCTTCTTGTTACTGTTGTATTCTGCTCATAAACAATACAGTTTGTTCATAAAGCAGTCCCTTTTTCTGTATGTCCGACTTTACTTGCATGAGTAGAAATAGGTGTGTGCACTGTCCTGGGCCAATGTGTAAATAAAGACTGAGTAAGGTGTTTTTGTTTTTTGTTTTTTGGTGGCCTCATAGCAACTACAATTCAGAGGAAGTAGCCTGTGGTTTCCACTAGTTGGAGTGGCAGCCTATGTGTGTTTGTTTTAGATATTTAAAAGACTCACACATGAGGAATGGGAAATTGAAATTACCGTATTTTTTGCACCATAAGCTTGTTTTAGATATTTAAAAGACTTACACATGAGGAATGGGAAATTGAAATTAATAGACAGTATCAGGTAGACTAGGGAGAAGAGGTTTGATACTAGTTTCTCCCAGTAATGCAAGCTGATGATCTAACCAAAAATTACAAGATAGGTTGTTTTATTATTATATCTGAAACAAGTTTGTTCATTTGTTGTTCCCCAATAAACCAGAAGCTGACATAATGTTAATTTCTGTGTTTATAATTCCTGGCTTTTCTGGAAATGAAAAGCCAAAAATCCTGAATCACATGTAGCACTAATCTTCTTTTTCTGGAATTTCCAATTAGTTTAGCTGTTTCAGCTTGATGTGATGAACATAGGAGCTATTGTATGCCAGCACGTTCCATATGTATTATCTCTGGAAATCTTGTTTAGTATTCTCTGCAAATGCAGCCAATAAGATGAAACACATTTTCTTGGGCTGCAATTTTGTATGCTTACTTGGTGATCTCTATGTATGATTAGGCCTAAACAGTGCCGTCTTCTAAATCTGCCAGACATTCACGGATTCCATCTTGTATGTAATACTATAAGATGAAAGCAATTTCATCCAGCTACTATATTTTCAAGCTGGATTTAGAAAAAGAAGAGGTACTCAAGATCATATTGCAAATATCCTCTGGCTGTTGGAATGCAACAAAGAATTTCACAAGATAATGTTTTATAGTTTTTTATAGGAAAGCCTTTTACCATGTGGATCATGAGAAACTACGGGTGGTTCTGACAGAAATAGGGTGATTCAGCACTTGATTGTCCTGATGTGTACCTTGTATTGTGAACAAGAAGCTATTGTTAGAACAGAATGTGGAGATACAGAATGGTTTCCTGTAGGTAAAGGTGTTAAACAGTGGTGCATTTTATCCTTTATCTATTCAATCTTTACACAGAACACATGATATGGAAAGGTAGACTAGATTCAGATGAGGAGTGAAAATTGGTGGAAGAAACATCAGTAATGTAAAATATGCAGCTGATGCCATTTTACTTGCAGAAAGCAGCAATGACCTGAAATGAGTTTTAGTAAAAGTGAAGGAAGAAAGTTCCAAAGCAGTATGGCAGTTGAATGTTAAGAAGACAAAAAAACATGACTACAGAAGTACTACACAGAAAAACTAGTGTTGACACTGAAGAAATTGAAATAGAGATTTTGTATATCTTTGCTAAGTCATGAGACTGCAGTCAAGAAATTGGAAATCAGAAGCCTGAGACTAGGAAGGCCAGCAATGAAGAAATTAGAAATTATCATCAAGTGTAAGGACATGTCACTGAAGATCAAAATCATCCATACTCTTGTATTTTCAGTCACTGAGTACAGTGGTGCCTTGCTTAACGGGTGCTCTGTTTAGCGATGAAACCGGTTAGCGACGACTTTTTCGGAGCGTTGTTGTGCTTCTTTAGCGATGGTCCCTATGGGCGATTTTCACTTAGCGATGGTTGGGACCATGCTTCGCATAGCGATTAAATTTTGGGTCCCCTGTTTCGCTTAACGATGGTTTAAACAGCCTCATGTTTGCTGTTTTTTAAATGTTTTTCTGTTATTTATAAAGTTAAAGTTTACTGTTTAAAATGTTTGAAATCATAAAGTGCACTTAATAAACCCTTTGTTAACCAAATTTGACTTTGTTCTGACTCTTTTTTAATTTGTTGTTGTATTTTTTCCCCATTGAGATGCATTGAATAGGTTTCAGTGCATTTCAATTGGGGAACCACGTTTCGCTTAGCGATGTTTCCTGTGGCAATTTTCGCTTAAGGACGGCAATTCGTTCCTATTGGAATGGATTATCCGGTTTTCAATGCATTTCAATGGGAAATCGCGTTTCGCTTAGTGATTAAATCGCTTAGCAGCGATTTTAACATCGCTAAGCGAGGCACCACTGTATAGGTATGAAAGCTAGAGAGTTAAGAAAGGTGACAGAAAAAAATAAATTCATTTGAAGTGTGCTGGAGGAGAGCTTTGCAGATACCCTGGAGTGGCAGAAAGATGAACAAATGGGTCCTAGATCAAATCAAGCTAGGACTATCTCTAAAGGCAAAAATGTTAAAAGCAAGGCAGACCTACTTTGGGCTCATCATGAGAAAGCAGGATTATCTTGAAAAGGCAATAATGCTGGGAAAGGTGGGAGGCAATGGGAAAAGAGAAAGACCAAATATGAGATGGATTGACTCCCTGAAGGAAGGCACAGGCTTGCATTTATAAGAGCTGAGCAGGATAGTTGAGGACAGCACATTTTGGAGATTGCTCATTATTGAGGTTTCTAGGTGGGATGATGTTATGATGGCACATAACAACAACGGCAACAACAACTGACAGGTGTCTTTTTTTAGTTATTTGTGTTATTTTTTCAAAAAAATATTTGTTAATTATCCTCACACTCAAGAAAACAGCCAAACAACTGTGCATGTAATAACTGTTATAATAATAGTGTATTAGCCCAAATGGATTTATATGGCTTTATTTTTAAAAAAATCAAAATGCAGATAATCTTGTAATCCAGAATATCCTATAATCTCATAAAAACGGCTTTAAAAAGCAAACTTGAATAACAATCATTTTGAAATTGTAGATTGTTTTGAAAGGAGAGGATTTAAAAAAAAACCTTGGCAATTTTAAATGAGGGCTTTTCTCTAAGAAATTGGGGGATGTAAGTACATAAAGCAGACTCTTTGAAGGATCCTTGTGTAAGTGTTACAATATTAGAACCATTCACAAGATTGGAATGCATCTCTTCCTCTTTTCTAGTCTTATACAGTGGTGCCCCGCATAGCGACGATAATCCGTGCAGCAAAAATCGCTGCAAAGCGATTTTGTCGCTATGCGGAAATAAAAAGCCCATAGGAATGCCTTAAAACCCGTTTAATGCGTTTCTATGGGCAAAAAACGCACCTTTAAGTGAAAATCCTCCATACGGCGGCCATTTTCGCTGCCCGGTAAGTGAGGAATCCGGGCAAAAACAGCAGGTGGCCATTTTATTTACCCGGCAGCCATTTTGGAACCGCCGTTCAGCTGTTGGAAAATCATCGCTATGTGATGATCGGTATGCGAAACAGGGTACCGATCATTGCAAAGCGATATTTTCCTATCTAAACCATCGCAATGTGATTGCAAAAACGATCACAAAAAATTAGTCGCTATGCGGATTCGTTGTTAAACGAGGTGCCCGTTAAGCGAGGCACCACTGTAGTTTGATTTGAGACATGATCCATCTTGGTGTTTTTACTGCCACTGATTGGCTCATGAATATGTGAGAAAAAAAGAAAGTGCTTCTGAGTATGTACGTGATGGTGCTCTTATAGCAAATTAGCATGATCTGTACATGTACTTGACTCAACTCTGGGAGGCAGTGGAAGTACTTTTGTAACCTATATCAGCTCTGGGAATCCCAAGTGGCTTGCCTCTTCCTTTTAATATCTTGTTATGATATGTCTTTCCTGCTTCCACTTCATATATTTTCTTCATGTTTTATCTCTGACATCTGCTTGATGTCCCCCTTCCACTGCAACACTTTCATGTCACTGTCCGTCAGTGTCTTTGGTCTGACCTTTGTCTGTTCATGTGTATCTAACACTGTCAAAATGATTCAAAACCCAGTACAGTGGTGCCTTGCTAGACGATGTTAATCCGTTCCATTTAAATCACTGCCTTGTGAAAACATCGTCTACTGAAAAGCGTTTCCCCATTGGAATGCATTGAAACCCATTTAATGCATTCCAATGGGGAAAATAATCATTGTCCAGCGAAAATTGCCCACAGGGAAGCCATTTTGCGAAGCACCGATCAGCTGTTAGAATCGCTGTCTTGTGAAGCTTCGGTCCCAAAAACACCCGTTTTGCGAATTGCCCATAGGGAATCCATTTTGCGGAGCCATCAATCAGCTGTAGAAATCGTTGTCTTGTGAAAAAACAGTCCGCGAAGCACACTTTTGTAACCAAATCATCGTCCAGCGAAATCCCCCATAGGAAATACCGTTTTATGAATCGCTATAGCGAACGCAAAAAGTCAACGTCTAGCGAAAAAAAACATTTTGCAGGATAATCGTCTTGCGAGATACCACTGTATTGACTTCTTTCCTTTTTCCTGACCCTTCACAAGGTTCTTGCCTTTACTTTTGGAACCCTGAATAGATTTGCTCCCTTCTATTTTCTGCTTTTATATCCCAATGCATCTCTGTGTGTGGTTTTTTTTTGGAGGGGGTTGCTTTCATTGTCCAGCTCAGCCTCTGTTAGCTATCCAGCCTCTGTTTGCGTTCTCCTGGAAAGTATGACTCCACACTTACTGCTGCATTTGCCATCTGGAAGTACAGACCTTCAACATTTTTCTGCTTGACCAGTTCTCATGCTTCCTTCAAGTTCTCAACATTGAATTGTTCCTAGAAGCTTCTGAAACACCTCCCTAGTTCTAATACCCTAATGTGCATGTAATTTATATAAGTACTGTACATATTTTTCTCCCTGTTTACCTCTGCTTCTACTGATGTCTTCTGCTGTTCTTCTGTATCTACTTCTGACTCTTAAGTTGAGACTCTTGGTGTAGGCACGTAGCTTTATAAATTGCATGTGATATAGGGGGCTCTAGTGTGTAAATTATTTAGAAAAGTACTTGGTAATAATTTAAAATATTTTGTACAATACAGTAGCATCATCATTATTTTAGAGCTGAAGAGTTGGAAGGGACTTTATGAATTTAGCCCCTGTCAATGTGGCACAGTGGGAACTGAACTCCAAACCTCTGGCTTCACAGCTATTCTGCAATTCTATGGTACATAACATAAAGAAGAAAAGTCTAACAATACTTTTTTCTTTGTATAACTTGAAGGAAAGTGACGTTAATCATGGTGGGTCTTGATAATGCTGGGAAAACTGCAACAGTGAAAGGAATCCAAGGAGGTGGGTAACATCTTTATTTTGAATTTTTCCCTCAAAAAACTTTCTTACCAGTTATTCATAGAAGCTTCCTTAACATTTATGTATTTTCGACTTTATTCTACTTGACAAAAAAAAGCCTGATAGTTAAACGGTGTCGTGTGATGCTCTTAAATTAAAAACAAAACCAAAGAAAGCAAAAACTCCAAAGACTGTAAAGAGGGCTTTTCCCTTTGTCAATTATGTTGACTATGAAAGTAATGATTTACAATTTAACACTTTTAGAAATAAATTCTGTGCTTCATCCTTCCTTAAATTGACTTGGAATAACACTGAACATATGCTAGCAGAATGTGTGCACTTGCTTTTGCTGTCTGATGCAGCTTATATTGGAGAATTTGGTTAATGTCTTTTATAGTTAGCAGAGTTTCAGGTGCAAACAACAGTTACACAGAGAAAGAGTGAGAATAGTTTAAGTCTCAGTGGCCCATCTCTTTTCACAGTTACTAGCACTTTATTTGTTTAAAAAAATCACTCTGAAGGCATTTTAAGTGGAAAAACGTAGCATCTTAAATACCAATTGCTGTTTATAAGTTACAGTCAATAGAAAAAATGGAATGTCTATAAATGCAGTTCCCAACCTTGGGTTCCCAGATGTTCTTGGACTACAATAATCAGAAGCTTCCACCACTACCTGTGCTGGCTAGGATTTCTGGGAGTTGTAGTCCAAGAACATATGGGACCCAAGATTGGGAACATCTGCATTAGAGCAATATAAAAGTAAATGCTTTTACTGCATGTGTGCTGCACTTCATTGCATACATCACCATTCTGCCCTTCTGACATCATTGTAAAGCCACTACTGTGATGTTTTGCACTTTCAGAAATGTTTGGGTCAAGGCTATTTTATATATACTTATGAAAGAAGGCAGAATATCATATGTTGGCTCCATATATCATAAAATAGAAAGGCAAGATATTTGGTTTTGTTGAGATTTTTGATGAATTGTTGATATAAATTTGTCTCAATTTACCGAATATATGTTTTTAGTTTAATGAGACATTTCACTCCTTAGGTAATAAACTAAATGTTTTCTTCTCTACCTCTTTCCTTTTTAATTTTACATGTGTAGTAAATCCTGTTCGTTGAAACACACAGTAACTAGTATAGGCGAGTAAATTGTTTATAAAAATCAATGCTGTAGGTATAACCTCTTTTATGATATTGACTCAGATTATAATTAAGGGGGAAGCTAAAAGAAGTAAATCTTACATGCACAACAAGAGCCATTCTAATGATATTTTAATACAGTGGTGCCTCACTTAGCGATTGCTTTGTTTAATGATGTATTCACTTTGCAATGGGTTTCTTTGAGGAAATTTCCCCATCGTTTAATGATGTTCTCTATGGGGGAATTTCACTTAATGATGTCCGTTTTTGCTCATTTAAAAGTGTCTTAAAATGTTTGAAACCTGTTTTAAATGCTTGGATTCGGTAGTGCACCTTCTGAAACATGTGCAAACTTAATTTGGTTTTGTTCTGAGTCTTCGTTAATTTTTGGTGATTTTTTGTTTTCCCCATTTAAATCCATTGAACTGTCCGTCCAATGGTTTTCAATGAGGGGAAAAACAAAAAATCACCAAAAATTAACGAAGACTCAGAACAAAGACAAACTAAGTGTGCATAGGTTTCACAAGGTGCACTACCAAATCCAAGCATTTAAAACAGGTTTCAAACATTTTAAGACACTTAAAAATGAGCGAAAACAGACATCGGAAAGCCATTCAAAAGCACTGAAGCCGGCTTCAGTGCTTTTGAATGGCTTTCCCTCGG